ACATCCACAACCACTTCGACATCGACCTCGATCAGCAGCAGCAGCACCACGAGCTCGTCCACGTCCAGCTCATCGTCCAGCACGAGCACGTCTTCCACGTCCTCCAGCACCTCTACTTCGACAACGACAAGCTCCGCAAGCTCCACATCTACTCCGACATCTACAAGCAGCAGCTCGAGCATGTCGTCGACCACGTCTGCCAGCAGCTCCACCACATCGTCCTCTTCGATTTCCAGCACGTCCTCCAGCACTGCGTCATTCAGCTCAACGGCAACTTCTTCGACCACCCAGACAGCAACTGCTTCCACTTCTTTCACGAGCAGTTCGTCGTCGTCTTCTCGCAGCACTTCCAGCACACGGACATCAACCACTTCCTCGACCAGCACAACAAGTTCTTCGTTTTCATCTAGCACGACAACCAGCTTTTCATACACCGTGACAGGCACAACTTCTTCTTCCTCATCTTCGACATCCAGCTCGAGCACCTCTTCCACGTCCTCCAGCAGCTCGACAACGACAACAACAAGCTCCACAAGCTCCACATCTACTTCGACATCCACAAGTAGCAGCTTGTCCACATCGTCAACGGTGTCTTCCACTAGCTCAACACTTTCTTCGACTGTCTCGACCTCATCCTCAGTTTCTTTGACATCCTCAACCACTGCCTCAACAAGCTCCTCGGTTTCCTCAACCACTTCCACAGCATCGTCAACGTCTAAGACACTGTCCACTTCCACGAGCTCCACCTCATCCTCCAGCAGCAGTTCAATCTCCACCTCCACGTCCTTTACATCTTCCAAAACATCTTCGTCGATCTCGCAGACGTCGTTGACATCCTCAACCTACACCTACAGCACGACAACGACCACTAACACTGCTGCCGAGATCCTGGTAGGCACAGAGCCGACCACAACAGCGGCTGCTGCAGCGGCATCACTTGCAGCTGTGGCCATTCTTGGAGCGGCAGCGGTGCCCTTGTACAACTACCGGAAACGAAGACTTGAGATCAAAATTGAGCCGGGCGACAAACCGTCGGTGGGCTACGAGATCAACTACAAGGAGAAATGGAGTGTGTCACGGCCGCCCACCGGTCCCCGCGAGGTGCGTGAGTGCTGGACAGAAGAATCGGCTCGACCCGCGGCCAGTGTACGAGAACTTAAGAAGTCGCGCACGACTCAGCCGAGTCTGTCCGTAGAAGATGTGGAGAACGAATCTGGAGACTCACCGTGCAGAGTTCAGCAGAGCCCCGCGGAGCAGGTGCGGGCTGTGCGCCTCGATCGCTTTGCGACACTTGCTGTCGTTGAGGGCATCGATGGGACCAGACTCCCTTCTCGCCTCATGGCTTCTCCAAGGGAACTGCCATCAGCATCGGCCAATGCCGCATCTTGGACTAATTCTTTTTGCATATGCCCGTTGCATAGCTAGTCCCACTACAAAGAGGGATTTTGGAGTTGAGACCCCAGGCTGAAATCTTCTCTGAGTCCGCAGGTTGCTATGAGGGAGCGTACCAGGAGTCGCTTGCACCGCTTGGACACCACGTCCAGTGAAGCGCTCGGTCCTCCAAAGGAGGATGACGCAGCTACACCCCACAGCGTTTTCGGACGCACTCCAATTCAGCCGGACCTCCTGAACTCCGACTGGCAAACCCAAAGCTCCTGCCGCGGCATTCAGTATGCGTTGCTCCTGTGTTTGTTGAAACTCACCGCTCAAATCCCCAACCCAAACTCGTCCCAAATCCTCGGTCACATGATCAGGCCTGGCCCTGTTCCAGCAGATCGCAACTCCTGCGGCTGCTGTGGCGCAGTGTCGGCGCCGGAAGTGATCGCCGAGGGGACCAGAACGGCGGCTATTCAAGGGCCTGGAAAGAAATGTCAAGAATCGCAGCGCAGTCGGTATTGCAAGATTCCTAAGTTGCGCATCATTCCTAGTGCTTCATGAGAACTCTCCTGGAGTAGGTTGCAGTCGTCGTCTTTGGGTACTCCTGGTCCTTGTAGCCATGCCCTTGCTGCAGCCGCCGTAAAAAAGCGTGGGTACTGCTGAAGCCTCGGGTGCTCAGTGCTCAGTGTCATGGCATTTTGTGGGTTGGAGTTCGCCTCATTGTGACCGCTCCTCCTGCGGCGGTTGCGGGTTTTATTGTAAGTAGTATATCATAAAGTTGTAATGTCACTTCCGAAGATCAGAGAGCAACGTGGAGTTGGATATATGGCCGGCGGGAGTGCACGTCATTCAGCCTCTATGAACTGCCTGTTCGCCGATCTTTGCGAGAGCTACCATGACATGACAGGATTTATTTGGGTGGAAAGGTCAAACAACCCCGAAAGCCCCAAAGTCCAAGCTGCAAAGCCCGAAGCTCTAAAACAAAATGCAGGAGGCCCTCTACAAAAAGCGCCACGACCTGGACATGCGGGCCAGACCCCTTGAGGGAGATTTTGGGTGAGGATTCAATGTTCTCATTGTTGCGAGTCACTGAGCTCACGGCGTTACGGATTCTGAGATGTCAGGGTTTTCGGTCTTCCAAGCTTCAGGATTGCGCAGACACATCTTGCAGCTCTAAATTCTGATCTCCGTTGAGTCTTCGTGATGAAGGGGCCTAGAACCTGGAGGACTCTCATTTTTCTCGTGCATCCCTGCGACGAGACGAATCTCTCAGGAGCAGCAGATCCTCCGCACACAAGGGGTCGCCGACACTGACGAGGACCGCCGCAGCGCTTATCAGGTTATGTCAAGAAGCTTAATGGCTTAATGAATGTGGCTTGGGCTCGGCTTCCGTTATTTCTTGGGGCATCCTGGGTTCTGCACTCACCTGCACCCAGGCGTTGGCTCAGCGGACCTTGCAGCGGGTCCTCGCGGAGAAGCGGGAGCAGCCAACCTGCAAAAAGCAAGGTCCTTGAGCACAGTGCAGTTTCTGCCAAGTGCAGCCGGCGTGAAGCAGTCTTGCTTCACGAGTGCAGGCTGGCAAGGATAATGCTGTGGGCCCTTATTGCAGGCAGGACGAGCTGTTCGACATGTGGCGGACCGAAGTGAAGGAGGCTCGTGATGAGCTTCACGAACAGAGCCCCGAATGCAATATCTCTCGGCGGAATTCAAGAATTCCGGCTGATCCATCTGCTGCCCAGCCATCTGGGCCCAGGATTCGGACCAGCATCCGCAACTTCGTCGCAGTCTCGTTCCTGCCTGCTCTGCTCAATGCAAGTCGGCACCCGTGACGTTAGAGACCAACCTTTCTTGCGCATTCCAGGTAAAGATCTGGCAGAAGCCAGGGAGAACCAGCTGCACCAGGCAAGAAAACCAACAGCTGTCCAAGAAGTAAAGGCGTAGCGGCGGTAGGCCTGGTCTGTCTTTAATTCTCTCTACGTGTCGCTCTGTGCAGTTATGTAGTGCCCAGAAGTGACACGGGAAGGAGATCCAGTTCCAAAGCAATGCTGTGCGAAGGCTGCACGAGGACAGCTGAGTCCGCTCGACGTTAGTTAGCTGTGGAGGAAGCGAGTCCCAAGGGTTTGTTGCAAGAAGGGGATGCTGCTAGGAGACGCTGAAGCAGCAGCATGAGCTGGATACCGTCAGAGACACACTGCAGAGAAGGCTCCTAGCAGCCGAGCCTCGAGTAGGTAGGCAAGACTTGTACGACTACATAGAGCGATGGAGATTTAGAGAGAGAGAGGGAGAGAGAGAGCACGAAACAACGTCTGTGGAGTGCAGAAGTCAGACAGGCAGACATTTCTGTAATTGCCCTTCGATCTCGCTCTAGCTCTCGCTCTCGCTCCCACTCCCGCTCGCTCTCTCTCTGTCCCTCTTGTCTTTCTCTCTCTCCCTCTCTTTTTTGTCTTCTGTTTCCACTGTCAGGCACCAGGCGAGCCTCGGCATCTTCTAGGGGGCAGGCTGCGTCGCTATTCTGGCGGGTGAGGGGCATGCTTTGCATCAGCTGAGGGCTATTGAGAACTACAAATTCAGCTTCGAGATCGCGGATTCCTCAGCCTCGTTGTGGTTCGATGCAACGAATTCCATGGTACAGGTCTGTTCCTATCCTTTCCTGCTCATTCCGGGGCGTTTGGTTGAGCAGGTGCAAGAAGAGCTGGCAGAGTGTGTCAAGGCCTGGCATGATACGGCAGCGCCGGGGACATGTGAAGACATGACCCGGCAGAGACAACCTTGCCAGGAGCGAGACGAGTATGCTCAGGACTGATGTGTTAGCTTTTGATCCCCAGCCTACCCGTGCCGGAGCCCTGCGCAGTCTCAGCCTCAAAGGAGCTCCAGGTACACAAGGAGGCTAATGAAGAGCTGAAGTGCATCCTGGCGGCAGCAGGATGGCATTGCTTCCCAGTCCCGGACACCTAGCCGCCCCAGTTGCGCTTTGATCCTTTGCTCATCCGTTGACTCAGTGCTGGAGTGAGGCTCAACAGTTTGCAACACTTCTCAGGTGAGGTGGAGGCTCTCGAAGACGAGCTGGAGTCGTTCGGCCGCTTCCAGGCTATCGAGGCGGGTCGTGTCCTAGGCCTTATGTGAATTTGCAGGCAGGCTTAAGTTTTGGAAGGCCGCTGCATCGCAGCTGCTCGTGTTTGCGCATCTTTGCTGTCGCTTCTTTTGTTTCATGTGGACCTGGGTGTAATTAATGCCTGAGAAAAGGAACGGCAACGCGGAAGAGGTGTGTTTTTGTTGTAGACTTTGGGGATGAAGGTTTTCAATGGCAACAGGCTGGCGGTTGAATGAGGGCTGGCCAGGCTAACTCATTCGATTGCGCCATGGATTGCTTTAGTAATTAGTCTCAGAAGTAGGACAGTGCAGGCTTGATGCAGGACTGTTGATGGTTTTGCGGTATGTGTTCGTGGTCCGAACACAACACCCCGCCCGCCCCCCCTACGCGGCTAGGCCAGGCGTTGCCTTCAACTCCTTGACTTCTTTCCATATCTCTTTTTGTCCCACGCGTTTCAAGCGCAGCTACAGCCACTTGCTTGCCTGGGCTGGCAACCCCCAAGACAAGAGGCCAATCCCCATGGCCATCCTCCTGATCCTTGCCTTTCTTGAGAAAGTGTGCTTGATCCCATGGGCCAGGCAGAGCAACAACAGCGACTTAGAACCCTCCTCGCCACCAGCGATCGCGACCGCCAGGGAGCCCAGACGCGGTCTTTGAAAGTTTAGGCCTTGATTTCAGAGCACAGGAAGGTGAAAACACAGTCTGCTGCAGCCTTCTTTTGGAAACGAAGTTTAGACTTGGCATGGCTTGCTCGGGAACGGTGCCTGCTTTTTGCAGCCACTTGCGCTGGTGTGTGTGTGTCTCTGTGTGTGCGCGCGCCTCTGAGGTTTGGTGACCTTCTTCGACATTTGGAAGCGCTACACTCACGGAGAATGGGAGTCCTGGACGCAACTTCCCAAAGCCAGCGCCTTTTTCATGTTAGGGTCCTTGTTGCTCCATCTGTTGGCTTCGATTCATGGCTGTAGCTGGCCGATGGAGTATGCTTGGGAAGCTTAGCCAGAAGGCTTTGTGGCCAAGGAAGGGATGGATCGTAATTGCTCGATTTCAACACGTTTGGCGAGCAAGGATCCCTGCTTCTTGAGTGACCACATCCTGCATACTCCCCCGTTCCCAGGTTTTTCTCAGCTCTGAAGCTGGCTTTCCTGTCGCCATGGTCCCACCTGGCGTGCCGTGCCCTGGCCATGTCCGCGCGACGGTGCTCGCCAGACCCGACGGTGCTCTGCGGAGAGTCGCTGGGGATCTCGAGAAGGCTCCGCCTTAAGGGGACCGTGTCACTGCGTCAGCTTGAGATAAGCTGCGGGCCGCTGGCTTTTCTGCTGATGCATGGGTCTTTTCTTTCGTCTAGGGCCTGCAGAACAGTGGTTGCCACTACCGGGTTCGGGATAACGGATGTTTCAGCGCATCCTGCCGGTCAGGTGCATGCGTTTTGCCACGAGAGGGGCATCCAGGTTTGCGCTGGGAGCTGCCCAGCAGCAGACAGCCTAGAAGAATCCCAATTACTGATCATTGATGACAACTGAAGATGGTACCAGAGGAAAGGCCCGCTCAAAGTCCCGAAGTTCGTCTGGAGCCAAGGCATCTTTGACGAGTTGCTAACACGAGATGCTCTGCTAAGTCGCGTGGTCCGTCTGCTGTGTGCCCGCAGCAAACAGCTTTTCATTCTGTTCTATGCGGGGCATGGACGACCTGGTACAGGCCGGGGGCTGCAACAGGAAACGGGGTTCCTTGCAAAGTGTCAAAGAGTTCTATGTATGTGGCAAGGAGACTGGATTCTGGAAGACGAGGACGTCACCCTTCAAGAGCCTCGGTTGGTCCTAAATCAACGTCACGACACTTTGGTTTCTGTCCATTCGGCTGCTCCCGAATCAACGTCACGACACTTTGGTTTCTGTCCATTGTATTGTCAAGACTGCACAGAATGGCAAAACTTTGCAAGGACATCCTGGATCTGTGGGAAGCCTCAAGCGGCGTCGACCGTCCATCGAATGCATCACTACTCATCATCAGTGATGCCTGCTACAGCGGTGAGTGGGTGCTTCGGGCTGGAATTCGCGAACACGCTATGGAACAGATTTGAATAGAGAGCATGCAGCTTCTGCGCAGTTTGATGTTTGTGCCGTTCGCTGCTCGTGCCGCTGTCAATGGTGTGAGCCTGCAAGTGTTCCCTGAGCACGACACGTTCACCAAGTCTCTTAGACATGGCAAGAAGGCATCGCGCCTTCAAGAGCCGTCACTGAGGTGAAAGCGGCTGGATTTCTGGCCCCAGCCCGGGCAACTTGGCATGAGACAGTGATTTTAGTTTGGTGTTGTTTGGAGGGGTTTGCACGTGTGCGCTTTTCCACGACAGGTGGTGGTGCAAGCTTCCTGCGGCGCTCCGGAGCGTGCGCTGGAGACTGGGGTGGGGTGGGGTGGGTGCTGTGCTTTAAGCCCCACAGCCGGCAACGAGCAAGGCACGCTTGCCTGGAATATCATGGGAATCCTTGCATCATGCTTGCTGCAACTTTAGTAGAGTTTTCGAGGTACACTGCCGACGCTGAAGTTGTAGCTCGTAAAGTGACCATCGTGTACAGACCGCGGGGTCCAACAGGTATTTTTCAGAGGCTTTCATGCCCGTCAGGGACAAATTGAAGGCTCTGTCGGTGAATGTGTGGGATGCTCACTAGCCACTGGTCACATCATACCAGCGTGTCCTATGACTTCAACTCAAAGCCATTGTCTGTGGCCGCTCTTTCCGGAGGACGGCGTTTTCATCTCCCTTTGGCTGCTGGTGCAGCGGCGTGAGGTGGCTCTGGCATATGCCCTGCGGCATCCGGGCGGCGCTGGGTTGAAAGGGATTGCGTGACGAGCCGACTGGTCCAGGGTTCACAAGACAGGTCACCACTGATGCAAATTTGGAAGCAGGATTTAAGGTTTGGAAGTCTTCGTTGCCACGATCCTGCCAGATTCAGTTGTGATGAGACATGTTTGCCTGGTTGCGAACAGACACGTTTGTTCAGTTCGCAAGCACTGATGACCGAGAAGATGAGAATGAGCTGTGACCACAGTGCATCTACAGAACATTGTGACTGAATAGTCAGGCGTGGCAACAAGAAGACTTGTAATGATCGCCAAAGCCGCTGAGGCACCTGGAGTCGTTGGCTCGCAGCCCGGATGTGCAAGCTTTTGCGGATAGGGTACAGTTTTTATTTGTTTTTGTTGCGTTTGGATTGTCTATTGCTCATCACCCCACGTCCATATTGAAACTTCGATGGTCCGCACCTGCGGCATTGCCCGCCCGTCTCCCTATGAGTGCTGTCAGGGCATCCGTGCGTCTACGGTGGCGAGCAGGCCTGGCCAGAGCTTGAACGTAAGTATGGGTCTAATTTGTCTAATGTACCTGAAAGCCATCCAGCAGTAGCTTCTGTAGTTTCAGTGGATGTTCACACAGCCGGACGAAGCCATAAAGACATGCATGCAAACATGTGCGTGTACAGTGTAGCGAGTGCGAGAGACATGTGTGCGTAGGCAGGTAGGTAGGTAGGTAGGTAGGTAGGTAGGTAGGTAGGTACCCTCTGGATGCAACGGCAGAGAGAGAGAGAGAGAGAGAGATAAATACATGCACGGGGGCCAAGAGAACAGACCGTCGCGAACCGTTGATGGGTTGGCCTTCGGGCCGGGGGTCCTAGACCCCAAACCCCCAGCAAGCAAGCAAGCAAGATAAATACACGGGAATCTTTCCGGCAACACTTTCCTGCAGAGCGCAGGTTTGCCTTCCCGAGCTGGGCAGTGGATGGTGGCCACCTTTGCTGCTGGAGCTTCCCCAACCGACTGGACCACCGGAAGCTACAGGCCTACACTCAGCGTCAACTAGCTCACGCTCCGCAAGCAGGCGCGCTACGTCGAGGCCAGCTCTGCGCTGTTGTGAGAGAGTTTAGGTGCCAGATTCCAGAAGTCTTTATATGCCCGAGGAGAAATTCGGCCTCGCGCTTCGCCACCTCGGATCACATGCGTGTTCGAAATCGAGTGGCGATGAGGAGACAGCGAGCTAGTGCATCTGCAGGCAACAAGGCTTGACATTGGAATCCTGTTTTGCTGCTGCGGGGCTTGTTACCGTCTGGGCAGAGTCAGAAACCTCTCACGCGATGGTTACAAGAAGTGTCGAGTCAGTTAGAGTCCCGTTGCTCAAAGCAGTTCTCGGGATCGATGTGTAGTCGTAGTCTGTCACACAGATGCTTGTGATGAGCATCGTTTTGGTTCGGCTACCGTTTAGTCGTTGCAGGGTTCTCTGGCTTTCGCCCATGTGCGTGAGGTATTAGTCCAGATGCAGACGGGGGTGGCTACTGCCCCCATGAAGGGGGGAATCAGCTCCCTCCTACCGCCTGCTGTCCGAATGGCATGGAACCGACACAACTGGTGCAGCAGCTAGAAGCCGCACAGCAGGATTATCGATCCCCTGTCGTCCCACAGCTGTTGCATGAGGCATGCATGGCAGCAGCAGAGGAGGCTCTGAAAGAAGCGCTATGCGTGGCAGGCATGCACCATGCCCTCGCCGGCCTCCTCTTTGTTTGCCAACGCCAGGAGTTGGCACCGCTGGCGCAAGCCGCCTTGTGCAGTCTCTGGAACCTGGCGAGTCCGTTAAAACTGCGGTCGGAAGTGGCGCAAGGCTCGGTGGCCCATGCCCTGCGTGATACCGTCGATCACCTGGGCATCGTACCCGATGTGCTGGAGTGGAGCGCCCGAGTCGCGTGGCTCCTGGCGGAGGAGCCTTCGACTTCAGAGCTGTTGACAGCCTGCAGCATCCCCGAGGCACCGACGCTTGGTCTGCTTGAAATTCTGAAAGCACCAGCAGCAAACGACTCGAGCTTTTCTTCTGACCTGAGCTCGCCAACAGGCGCTGGAGCGCGCAGCTTCACGTCTGACAGGGAGCCCAGAGGTTCATCGCTGGGTCAGCCGAGCCGTTTGCCGGATGGACCAGCTGGACCAAACTCCGGGACGAAGCGCCCGGAAAAAGAAGACCAATGCCTCATACCAGGGCCGAAAAATGTGCACAGGTTTCTGCTACCGTCGGAGATGTTTTTTGTACCCCCCGTTGTTGTTCTTGCAACTGCTCTCCAAGACTTGGCCCAAGGAAGCGGAAAACCCGGAGTGGCAGAGGCAGCAGCCCGGTCGGCACCAACTGCACATGGGATCTCCGACCCGAGCTGCTCCCATTGACCTTCATCGTCACATCATTAGCCAGAACCCAACAACAATCGGGCAAGTCTGAATCTGAGATGGCTTTGGTGTGCTTGTATCTTCGTTCTCTTCCTTCTGTTCATCCGAGCTCACGTGCCTTCTGCTTGAATATGTATGTATTTCCTCCGTGCATGCCGAAGTGATTCATCAAGCAAGTCAGATGCGAGTCATCGGCCCCTTTGCACTGCTAACTTAGTTTCGTTCGGTGCTGGGGCATCCCACTAACTGGGGTTGCATAGTCGTGTCCACGTCATATATGCCACACGGGCATCCAGCTAGAAATCTTGGAGGTGGCAAAAACACGGAAACACGAGCCGCTGAACGCCCGCTGCTACCCGCAAGCGTGCGACGGAGTCCACAGCCAAGGATGCCTTCACCCCTGCACTTCTTGCGTCAGCTCCGAAAACAGCTGCCGAAGCGCAATGCCAGGATCCCAGTCGAAAGTCGCGGGACAGCGGTTGTGTGGTGAACCCCGGGAGTCCTTGTGAATGAGTATCAGCATACTCCACCACTGGCGTAAGCATTCGAGGTTTCAGATTAATACAATTGTTGCAGATAGAATTGTCAGTGCTTCTTTGTTTGTTCACTTTGTTCTGGCCTGATTGTTTACACAGAGAACCTCGCAGTATGGAAAGCCTCTGCTCTTCCCACGTTTTCCTTGTCGACGTCTGCACAGAATGATGCTCACAACCAAATGCTGGGAGAGTGGGACAGGCTGCACAGCCGTTCGCAGACTCCGGCCGAGGTGCGCCCGGAGGAGCAAGTGCCGGGAGTCTTGGGCTGGGTGGACGGAGCGGGGCGTGCAGCGCTGGACTGGCAGAGGCCGGCAGCTCTGGAACTGTCTGGAACCCAAGTGCAGCAAGCAGTGTGTTAGCAAGCGCCCCACAGGATGCACCTTTTTTGGGGATCCAGGTCTCGGGGTGCATGGGTTTTCAAGCACGCCTCGGGCTGCAATCGCCGTTCGCGCAGGTGCCTTCTTATCCGCGTGCTGCCACTCGGTTCGATTTGATAGCATGACGGCTGGACCACGGCAGGTGCAGACGTGTAGCTGCCCCTTGAGTCGACTCTTCTTCTCAGGATTTGCTGGTCGTCGGTTGTGCAGGAGAAGATGCTGCCGCCGAAGCTCATGCTGGAATTCGAAGGGCTGGCCTTGTCGCATGGGAGCGGGTTGCCCGCTGCAGCTGCTGTTTTGGCTGCGGCCATACATTCCTGGCCGAGGCACCTGCCGCATGTCTCTCTCTCTCTCTCTCTCTCTCTCTCTCTCTCTTTCTCTCTCTGTGTCAAACATTGCCCCATTCTCCTCTCTGTAGGATGAAGGCCCATAATGGAGATGTGCCTACACAGGGACGCAGGTAGATCTCGATGGGTGCATAACTGAGCTGTATCTATCTACAATCTACAGTGGTAGCTCTCGGACGAGCTGTTTGGTCTAGCTACTCACATTTGATTCGCTAAGAGCTGAACCTGGATTTCAGCAACCGCTTGCCTCATTGCTGTTCCCTTGATCATGGTTCGACTTCAATCGATAGCAGAATCCGAGTAGCACAGGCCTGGCGCACGGGGAGCAGGAAGAAGTGTTGTCCTGGGAGCAGCTGGAGAAGCGCCTGAGAGACCAAAGCCTCAGGCACCTCGGCATTCTCTGAGAAAGTTGGTTTCAAGAGTGGTTGCAGGCAAGCAGCAACCTCACGGCTGGAAGCTTCGTCTGATTCATCTCCGAACAGCAGATACCCGAGACCAGTGTCGCATCAAAGGTACTGTCTGCTGTCTGCCTTTGATGGCTGGCTTTCGTGGATGTCGGCTGAGAGGGGCCCCGACTCTGTGCTGCTTGGACTTGTCCGGTAGGCCCAAGTTGGCGCAAAAACTCAAACAGAGCCTCCCCGGAAGGGGGCATTTCGCTTACTAAAGCTAAAGGGGCTAGTAAAGCATACCAGCCAGATTTCAGCGGTACTTGAGCTTGCATTCTCAATGTCTCTGTACATCTCCCCCGACATGCCGAAAGAAATCTGTGATGCAGGATGTGGGTCATCGATACGTCTCGCTGGCCAAAGGCCCGATCCCAATTTGACTCTTGGTCGGAAGATACTTGTCAACGGCTGAACTCCATAGAAGCATCCCTACCTGGAAAGTGCACTGCGGAAATCTGCCAGCTGCCAGTTTCTCTGAGCCATCCTAAACAGGTTTTGAATCAGCAAGGTTTGTGCGCAGGTTTGTGCGCAGCTTCTGCTTGATTCCACATTCATGGCTTCGGGCTGATTGCTCCAGGCGATCGATGGGTCAGTTTGTCTTGCTTCGTGCGGACTGACGAAAGAAGAATGCCAGTGCAATAACCCACACGAACAGCAGCAGCAGGAACAACAACAGCGCAACGGTTCAAGCTGTTCCAGAGAGCCGCAAAGTGCGGCAACATAGTTAGCACCGCGAGCTCCAGATCACAATCACCAGCAACATCCGCATCGCCAGTCGCCTTCACTCTCACTCTCTCACCGTCAGCATCCGCATCGTCATTGCCACCGCCATGCCATCATCATGATCTTCATGTTCATCTTCATCGTCCCGCCAACAAAAGAGAAAGCAGCGACGAGGAGAGGACCTGGAACTCTGCAGAGCGCAGCCAGCGGCGCGCAGAGCGGGCCCGCCAGCGTGCGGCGCGGCTGTGGCTCGGTTGCAGGGATGCCATAGTTGTACGGTTCGTTGCGTTGCAGTCACTGCAGCCTTGGAGCCGCAGGGCGAAGAACTGTCCTGCTTGCAGATTGTTGTGATATCCATCGTGATGAAGTGTTGCAGCAGGGGGCAACTGGCTGCGGGCAATCAGGTCGCTAGAGAAGGTCCCTCCGTGATTCCAGAAGCGGTAGAATGCCGAGGCGAGAGGAGGAGGAGGCGGCCGGGTTGATTTTGTTCGGCTTTGTATTTCTCGTCTCTCTACAGCCGGGAGTGGGTGTTGTGGCCAGGTGTTAAGCAAGTCACGCCAGTGCAAGTTTACATCTGTGAGCCTAAAGCAATTCTGATCGAGCGCTGCTTGTGCTGGATGCAGTTTGGAATCGAACGGCACACATGTCGATGTGAAGACGGTCTGTGCATAACTGCTCGGCTCTTGCAGTCGCGAGTGTACCAATAGCCCTATAGGCGATACTCGACTCAACAGCATGTGTTGTGCTGTTCGCATCTAAATGCCAGCTGAAACGTCCAGCCGTGCTTTCCTGCCCGTTAAAGTGCATAACAGATGGTGGCTCTATGGAGAAGATTACTCAATTTCTTGCCTTATATTTTGCTGCACAAGAGGCTGCAGAGCATTTTTCATGTTGAGATCTAGCCACAGGCAACGGGCAATTCGAGCGCCGCTTCCTTCGATAACGAAGCCCGACTTCTCCCTCTGTCTCACTCTCACTCTCTCTCTCTCTCTCTCTCTCTCTCTCTCTTTGTGTCTCCTTCTCCCTCTCTCTCTCTGTCTCTTTGCCTCTTTCTCTATATGCATGTATACCTGTGTATGTATGTATGTATGTATGTATGTATGTATGTATGTATGTATGTAGCTAAAAATGTATGTATGTATGTATGTATGTATGTATGTATACCTGTGTATGTATGTATGTATGTATGTACGTATGTTTGTACGTATGTTGGTACGTATGTATGTACGAATGCATGCATGCATGCATGCATGCATGCGCATGCATGTATGAATGGATGGATTATGTGCATGTGGATAGCACGTATTTGTATAGATGTACGCGTGTAAATCGGTATCTGTGTGAGGTGCAATATTTCATCTTTCGGCCAGGAGCGTCAACGCGCACTGCGCCAAAGGTCGGAGGAGGTGGCACGATTAGCAACCTAGACTGCTTGATTTCTCCTGCTGGCCACCAAAGCTTTTTCTTGTCGAGCCCGTAGACGGAGCCACAAGACGGACCCTTTGAACCACGACTCGACCAGGCCGAATATGTTCATGCTTGATCCAGGTGGCAGCAGTGGCCCACAGCAGGCGTGAGAATGCTTCCCAGAACGAGGCGGGGGTGCCACATGAGGAAAATCTACGACAAGCACAGTCCCTTTGTTTGGACGCTGCGCGTGCATCTTTTCTTGACAATTTGATTGTCGTGTTGTCGACTTTGGTGCTCTTTTCTGCATCCTGCTTTTCCTTCTGCACATAGAGCCATTTATATGGAATCACGTCAGAGATACTGTAGCGGCAGCTTCCGACATGTTGACATCACAGCTTCTTTTGCTTTGCGCACGTCCTGGCTTAGTACCAGGAGCGGCCAATATTCTATGTGCCACTGGTGTGCAGCTTTTGTGTCATGCCTTGTCTGCTAGCCAAGGCTAGCAGCCACAGGTCCTGTGTCTTGATTGCGTCCGAAGCCTTGATCTCGAACGGACTTGCTGCGCCGTCTGGGCGCTTATGATAAACTGGTGCATCATCGCCTGTAGTTCTTTCGCATTCCCACCTCTGCTCCAATTCGTGCAATTTCCAACTCGCGAGAGAGACGGCGCTTGGGCGGCAGGAAGCCCGCCGAAGATCGACTCTTCGGCCGTACGTGTCTTGGTCCGCTAGACACCTGCTTGGGTGTTGCCGACATTCCTGATACTCTTGAGCTGCCCTGTAGCATCGACATTCCTAAAAGTGGTAGTAAAAGCACCTCAACGAGAACTGCCCACCGAGGAGTTTCCACAGGTTCTACGCAGCGACGTGGAGCTTTCACCGCGCAGATCACCCAGGGATGTGGCATCTCCGGAGTGAGCCACAGGGGCCTCTCGTAGCAGCACCAACACGCAGCATGTTCAGCTGCCTTGGTGACTCTCGTGCTCTCGCACTCCGAGGGCGTGCATGAAGCTTTGCTCCGGGCACTTGTCCCGACTCCAGCTCCCAGCGGGTATTCGCTTGTGTTGCAACTAGTGCTGAAAGCACGGCGAGCAGAACATCGACAACGATGACTGGACCTGGTATGGAGGGGTGAGTGAAGTGCCAGTTCCGAGCGGAATGTTGCTCAACATCTGCTGCATAAATTCTGGCTGCGCTTGAGGCTTGCTAATATTTACACCGATAGATAGGGGCAAACAGCCATGCAGGTACGGATGCGCAAGGCAGAAAGAACCCCACTCTGGGTAAGCAGTTGTTGTGTGTTAGGTTTCAGCCACACGTGGGGAGTATAGCATCTCGTGCAGAACTCGGTGCTGCAGACAGCTAGTCACTCATGGAGACATGCCGTCCGTGTGGGGGCGCTCGGAAGTTCTGGGCCCTTCCACTTTGTTTCTCGACAAGGGCGACTCTGCCATGCTCATCAGCGGGACCACGTCTAAGAAGGACTTCAGACGCTTCGGAGTCCGAAGTAATTGAATAGTTTTTTAAGTATATGTGAGTTGATGAAATCGTCGGACGCGTAGTTGCAACTTGGCGACAGGAGCTTTGTTTGGTCTCACGGGCTGAGCACTCCGGGGCGAGATTCCTGGCGGTGGAGCCATGTGAGGTGCAGTTCTTGTCCACACAGCTGAAGCCTCCCTGCGTAAAGCAGCACTGAATAGGTTTGCGGTCGTAACAGGAGGTGCGTGCTAGCACCCCTGGCAGGATGCAGTCCTTGAGAAAGATGGCCGAGAGATTTGGCAGCTGTCTCCGGGCGGCCGCATCGCGGACTTGGCTGGCCGCTGTTTGGCCGCGGAGTCAGGTGAGTTGCTTCTGAGAAAGTGTCAAGATGTTCAGGCCCGGTCTCGAAGTGGCGTGGGATCATATGGGTCGTTCGGAAGTGCTGTCAGAATTTGCACAGGCTTGGCGGCTGACAGGTAAAAACCAGATCCAGCTTGGTGAACCAGCGGCAGGTGCATGCAGTTGAATCTGTTTGAGCACATGGCTGTTGCAGTGTGCTGAAGAGTTCGACTGAGTCCTGGCGTGACTGCAGGAACTGACAGAAGTTGCTTGGCTGTAGATCCTGCAGTCACGTTGATGGATGGGATCGGTGTGGACCTGGCCAGAGGGCAGACTGCTGAATCTACTTCTTCGACTGACATGGCCCATTCTGCAGGGAATGCGGTCGATGGAAATCCTGCGACATATTGGGCCAGCGACATCCTTGGCCAAGACTCCGCGGCAGACGCTGTTTCGTGGTCGGTCTCGTTTCCGCGTTCACGCTTGAACTCGGTCGACATTGAGTGGGAACATGCCGCTCAACAGTTCGACTTGCAAATCAGTAATGGCGATGACAGCTGGCAAACAGTGTACTCTGTGCCAAGCAATCCACTAAACTCACGCCGTTCCCGCATACCCTTGGACGGCATCGAGGCACAAGCTGTGAAGTTGGTTTTCGGAGGAAACCTTTCCGTTCCAGCTGCCAGACGGGTCGGCATTCGTCACTTCCGGCTGACCTCGGCAAGCGTGACCAGGCTTCCCATGCCCGTGCTCACCGTTTCGCAAGGAGTTGGACTCTTTTTCCCCATCCACCGCTCCTTGTGCTCCCTTGTACGTATTGACGATGAAGTACCCTAGGGCCAGTCCGAGATTCCCGGCATTCCTTCTGGACACAGATAAGCAGGGCGAAGAGGGGGCGCACGCGGAAGGGTTGTCTTTTGGAGTTGACTTGCATGTTTCGTGTTCCCACAGTGGTAGGCTCGGCCAGGCCAAGAGTCCAATATGATCGTTCGTCACCGGGCAGTGTCTGAGGCACCTGTTCTGCAGCGTTGTGCGATGCGGCCCGGGATGGCGCGGGATAAGTGGTTTCTGGCTACCGTGACCGAGTTCGATCCGTCGAAGAAGCTTTTAGCTGAAAAGAGCCGTGGCTCGCGAGTGAAGCCTGGACAGCACAAGCAGACGCTCAAAGCAGTGTCAGTTTTTTCCTCGACGCATCTCCTTGGGAAGATACCGTATGGTTGCAAGAATGCGCTAGACGAATTTTGGGCGTCTCGGAAGCCGAGGCGGTTGCGAGTTGGTAAGGGTAGTTGGGAAGCGGATTCTAGGGTCTGCTGGTCGGAGTGAGGAACACGATGAAGATGGACAAAAGCTGGATTCTGCCGGCTGGGATGCCAGCTGCTACCTGACCTCATAGTTTCGTGCCTTTTGTTGCAACGTTGAGGGCAAGACTCGACTCAAGAGTCAAGTGCGCATCTGCTGACAGACTTGAGGTAGCAAGGGCTTCCTTTGCAAGCTTTGATGAGGGTGGCGGGTCGGCATTGGCGAGCGAAAACTTGTTTCTCGGCACAACAGCTTGCGAGCTTCCGATGGTTGCTCCAGGTCGCCGCAGCATGCGTTGGTAGAATGCTAAGCTTAGGAGACCGCTGGTGCAATGGCGTCAGCAGCACCGGAGGACTTTGGAGGGCTTCTTGTGCGCTGCGGCGTTCGTACAAGATCGACATGTCTACACAAACTGTGCCTTGTTCTGCAAGCCTTGCTGAATCCTAAAATTTTAGTGTGAAGTTACCCGACGGAGGTTGTGGCTCAAGTTGAGGCACAGATGCGCCGACACCAAATGGAGTCACTTGGAAATTATCCGCAATATTTGGCAGTAACGGCCTGTAAGGGCCTATGCTGGGCCAACACTTCATTTGTGATGAGAAGGAGAAGGAGGATGTCCAAACAAAAGAAAACGGCGCCGTATGAAGCAATATCATAAGGATGCCGCAGGTATGCGCTCACAAAGTATGCAAGTTTCCTTCTTCCCAAGGGGTCCGAGTTGTGAAGGCCCAGTAAAGCATAGTAAAGAATTATTACTACTTGCTAGGAGCCTGCCGAGTCGCAAGGGTTGTGTCTGGAGACGCTAGAAGTGCCGGGACCTCAGGTCTCTCAGAAATTTTACCAGCTTTCGCCCCCCGTTTTTTCTCATTGCGACCGTTGATCATGGCATCTTGCTCTGTGGAAGCTATGGCATCCAGCATGGAGACGGTGGCAAGTGCCACGTTAGGATCGTGACTCTGATCAGGAATGGGAGAAACTGCAGGACGAAGGTGCCATCGCAAGGGCGACCCTTTCCACACTCTTCAAGCTCACGAGGATGAGGAGGTTAACTCGGTACTGTCCTCCTTCGCCCAGGTGGATGTTGATGATACCCCCATTTCCGAGTAACTCAAAGAGATGGACAGGTCAAGGCCAAGTTGGTTATGAAGTCGGACGACCAAGTCAAGGTGGTCGAGATCGCCGAGAACACCAAGATGCAAGGTAGCCCTTCGGAGCCGACCCCGATTGACCTGCCCTGCGGGGTCCCAGCCTCGTGCCTGGCCCGGGTCCAGGCGGTGGCCAGTGCCCGATGGTCTGGCGCTTGTAGCTGTACTCCACCGAGAGCAATCCTTGTCTCTAAGCTGAAGAAGATCTCGGCTAGCTCCGCCTGCGTGAGATGCTCGGCTCGGTTTGCAGCTCGTTTGTCGATACTGCCGGGAAGCCCTCGAGGAAGTAGAGCTTCTTTTCCACATGGCCTGACATGCGAGGGGTCAGTGGTGGGCAGCAGGGACGCACCCCCTTCAGGGACAAAGTCACTGCACAGGGCACGGCCGTGGCCTCCACCGGGATCTCCGGGGATCCTTTGCTGCTCTATCCACGCAGATGCCTCACCGGCCTTATCTCCAGCCATTGTAGCGTTCGATGTATTGCGAGGCACGAAGCGCAAGGAAGGGCTCCATCGCTGTTTGTGGGGGGGCCAAGTTTCCGGACTTGGGGCCTCACTCGCTGGTTGGCAAGGAGAGCAAGCTACAGGCTGACCGAGGTCAATCCCCCGCACATACCTGGGGGCTGCCTGCCCTCCCGACGCAGGGTCTCGAAGAGGCTGGCAGGGAGAGTCTACTTCGCCTCCGATTGCGCTTTTGCCATGGCTAGCGACCCCGACACACCAACAGCTCGGTAAACCTCCGTGATTATGCTTTCGGGAAAATTTGGATGCCAGGGGTCCCGGTCTTGGACCATAATTTGGGGTTCTCTGGACATGCGACCAGAAGACCTACATGCATCGCCACGAACCTCCCAATCGAAGAATTCGCAGGGCCGACTGTGCAACCATCATGCCCATGGACATGATGCAGGCTCGGAGGCCCATGGTACGACATACCTGGAATTGTCAATCAATTTGATGAAATTGATGGTGCAACTCCTCGCTGGCTTGTGCTGTGGCGGGGCCACCAAGTCTTGGGGCTCACACGGCCGATCAAGGGCACGCTACCAAAACTTTCCAGGGCTCTGATCGGCCCTCCACACACATGGCTTCAAGATTCGCCCCGTGCGGGATGGACAAGGCAAGCCAGGCGGAAAGCTTCATCAAGGCCCGGGCCAGGACTCTGATCGAAGACTACGGCGGCACGGGCGAAGCCTTCGGAAGACATTTGCAGCTACGTCGTTCTGCCCTCTTACGGGCCCATGACGGAAGGCCAACCATTCTGTTTAAACGTGGTGCGGCAGCTCCTCCTGGACGTTTAGGACATAGACCGACCTAGACTCTTCCGAGCCGGGAGCCCTCAGCACAGGTGTTTGTTCTGGGGGTCAACTCACCGGCCCTCCAGTCTCCTGGCGCACTCCTCTGAAAGCTGAAAGCTGAGCTTTCTGGAGAGGACCAACATGTAGCCACCATCGCGGAGGAACCTCCGCCCTGGTCATACCCAGACAGTCAGGAGGAATGGAGCCTCCTCAAGGCTGATGTATCGAAAGCCCACAGACGCATCAAGATTCTGTTTCAGGAATGGAAGTACCAAGTGGTCCAACTTAGTGGGAATGGTGGGTCAACACAGTGGGCACCTATGGCATGGTCAGTGCCTAGCTGTACTGTGGTCGTATGGCCGCCCTCCCTCTTCGAATTTGCTATGCGGTTTTTCGTGAGGTGGACCGGGGATTTGTCTTTGTTGATGACTTTGCTTGGCTTCTTCGGAAGTCAAACTCCAACCTCATGACAAGGCCATCTGCCTGCTTCCCGTAGCCCTGGGCACGAAGACCCTCCTGGCAAAGGTCAACACGTGGCTTGGCTTTGTTATCGACCCACCGGGTCCTTGCGTTCAGCTGGCCCAAAACAAAAATGTCCTGGTGGAGGACCTCCGTGATGGTAAGGTCATGTCGGCCTCTCAGATTGCCAGCGCCTTAGGCCGCCTCCAGTGGGCCACTGCCGTTCCTGCAGCTCTTTTGGGCCTGGAGACGGCATGCCACTGCCGGAAGACCGAGTACGCTGATCCGTGCTCTTGCCTTTCTTCTGCTTGCCCTCGTCCAAAATTACAAGAGAGGTTCTGGAAAGCCTCGCCCTATCCACCTCTAGCGCTTTGGACCGGCAGTAGTGATGCCAGCGCCTCGGATGATGCTTCGGCATTCGTGGGCGGCCGGCTATCCAACGTGGAGAACTCGGCGAAGAGTAACGTGTTCTGGTTCCACTACCAGGTCACCGGAAAGGCATGATTGGGCCTTTGACAAGGGCTGCCCCAAGAAACGCATTGCGGCCCTTGAGATGTTTGGCACATGGATCCTTTGCCCTCCGCATCTCCCTGGTCAGCGACAACCAAGGGAACGTTTACTCCCTCCTCAACGACAAATCGAAGAAAATGCCTACCTCGCTGATCTTGATGGAGATTTTTCTTCAGCTGCATCGCCATGGCATGCAGATTGCACCCTCCCAAATCAAGCGTGACTTCACCACCTCGGCAGATTAGCTGACCCATGATGATTTCAATTGTTTCACCTTAGACCCTCGGCTGCCTTTGGAGCCGATCCTTTCACAGATCTCACAAGAATTTTCGACTCGTCTCCTGCCCTCACCCATCGGCCCCTGCAGGGCGCCCGGTGAGGCTGTGGTTGCCTCCTGCCTCGGCTTTCTGTTGAACGGCACAGGCTATCTTTACCTAGGTCTTGCTCCGGTGGTGGTCCGAGACTCCAGGTGCCTTGGGCCCTGACTGTCTGGACCCCAACCCGGGACCAGGTTTGCACCGAACCTTCGACCGCAGGGCTTCGGCTCTGGGAGTCGGCAGCCACATCCATCCACCATGCAAAAGGTGTGTGCCTTGCTGCTGCATGGTTTGGTGCTATCTGAAATAGATCGTGAAATACAGGAATGGCCTTGTGTGGCGTTTTTTCTTTTTGGTTCCCCTCTCACGATCACCACGACGTCAACTCGCATGAAAGGCTCCGAAGAGCTTTCAGGAATCCAAGAGATGAAATGACATAGAGCTCGATGAACGCATTGGCAAAAGGAGAGCGATACCCACGAAACGCATGAACTGAAGGAGCTGGTTGCACTGCTAGCTGTTGCCTTGCTTTTGCTTCAGTTCTTTTACGATTACTATCATTCGAATCCTCATTCTGCGAGATGGCCACGAGAAAGCCCAAAGAAAAGACCAAGGACTCCGGCAGGGAGTGGTGCTACCTGGATCCGGATCTTTTGCCAGGTCTTGATCCAAACACTCCACGCTGGGGTTACTGTGCTCCTGTGGTGGACTACGATGCAGTTTGTTAGCAGCAAATTTTCTTGGGGCGTTGCGCTACTGGAGTGCTCTTCGTTTGCCAGCTTCATGCTGAGACAAGTCGTATTACGTGCTGAAAGGCCGGTGTTCCGGTTCATATGCAGCTTCACCTGTCAGTGTCAAGTCGGACTGAACCAAACATTTCTCCGAAAGCTCCAGTGCTTGTTTCAGGGACCGACTCTTCCGAAAGGCAGTCGGTGTCGGTTGTAGAAACTGTCGGAGACATCCCATTATATTATAATGATTTATAGTCTCTAATACATCGTTCTGCTTGTTTCATGTCATTAGAGCACTTTTGCTTCGTAGTATCTTGGTGACAACTTTTCAGCTCAAACCAAGGCCGCCCGTGCGGCTGCTTGAAGAGATGCGCGCAGACTTAGCCTGTACGGCGAAAATGGGAGTTTGGTGGCCTTCGCAATCAATTCATAGAAAAGACGCCTTAGTTGTGTCATTTCGTGTAGTGGCAGTGAGAGTTGGCAGCCACACGCGTTCAGGGTCTTGCACTGTCCAAACAAACTCAATCCGACGACTGTAGGAGCTGTGATGGAGTGGGCGGAATCGTGCTGAGATCTGCAACTTCAATACTTACCTCGAGTTGCCTTTGAAACCCAACCGAGATGTCTGCAAGGACTCTCACGGCCAGAACGCCCACAAGACGTTTCCTAAGCTTCTGCTACTGCTTCAGGGTTCCGTTGCTGCTGCCGCTGCCCCTGCTGCCGTGCGTGATCTTGCTGCGGTCAGAAACAACACGAGCTTCAGATCCTAGATTTATCACATGACACATGGGAATCAGACGCCTTTCCCGCAAGAGCGGTTTTCGGCCGCCTGTCGAGCTCACGAGACCTCAAAATGACCCAAGACCGGTTGTTTGGAGAAGTTGGAAGCCACACCCAGGCTTGGAGCCTTCTGTGCGTGGTGGGTGCGGCCATACAAAGGCCACACAGGAGTGCTGCAGTGGGCAAGTGCAGAGCCCTGATTTGCGTTCGACTCGTGACGTGGCTCACCGGCTATGCTCAATTTCAGTCTCTTTTTTCCATCTTGTGCTTACACTGGCGAACGAAGTCGTTCTCGGACAGATTCCTTTCATCCTAACTCGTGATTCGATTCAAGACCCTGCAGGGCTGAGGATTGACAGGAGGAAGGGCGATACCCCTGTTATGACCCCAGTCGTACACTTCTTTCGGACAGGTCGGGACCCGGTGGCCCTACAAGAGCGAATCTGGCCAGCTCTTGAAGAGGCACGAATGCCGCGGTCCACGCCTGGTCCGGACAGTCGCTAAGCACACGGTGCAAGTAGTATGCAGTAACTGTGGTGAGGTGGGGTGGGGTACCTGATGCTTTTTGCATCTTTCTGCCACAAGCAAATTCCATGCCTCGTGCCTGTCTATGGCACATATGCATCATGCCTGCAGCTGTGTGGCTTACCTCCCTCCAGGGGGCAGCCTCTCCAATTCCACTTAGCCAGCACGGAGGTGAACACATAAAGCAGTGCGCGGTACTACCCAGTGGCTTCACCGTAACGGCTACAAAGGAAACAGGTTAGAACCCCGGCATGATCTGCAGATGCATGGGTTCCATTGCGCGGCAGCCATTGGCTGTGGCCACGCTCCTAGGCCCTGAAAAAGCCTCTTTATTTCACTCTTGGGCTTCTGGAGAACTTGGAGGGCTTGCTGCAGGGTTTTCAGTCGAGGCAGGCCGCTCGAATTGTGGAGCAGGACTCTCAACGCCCCCTGAACTTGACTAAAGTGATTATAGGTACCGCCATGGATTGAACATACAAGAGCCGCATGCCGCAGAAGACCTTCATGTACCTGTAGCCAACGACAAGCATGTGACATCAAGTGAATCCAAGGTAATGCTTCAGTGGCATGCGTCGACGCACGCTGCCCACCTTGAAGCTTGGGCAATGATGGCAATATGTTAGCTACATGCTCGTCTCTCGGTTTTGTTCCATTTTTCATTCGAAGCATGTTGGAGCGCAGCCTCCTCGCGACTGCAGGAAAGGGCGGGGCATCGAGGCAGCGGCCGATCCGCGGGATGTGCTTCCACCAGGCCAAAAGAACCCCTTTAGAGGGGAGACCTTGGATTGTGCGGGGCCTTGTGATGCAGTGGCTTGTGCTAGGGCCTTTAGGAGTTTTGCAAACCAGCCCAGCTTGTGACCCGTGCAACTGCGAATCGCGGTCCCTTGCAGGCTGGATTCGTGTGGAGTCCAGGTCCAAACCTGGCTCGTTCTATTACGCTCACCCTGCCACCAAGAGGACCCAGCTTGAGAGGCCTGTGGATCCGCGCTACGCCCAGCGGGAGAAGCCGAAGGCAGTTGTAGAACCCCAACCGGCACCAGCGCAAGACCCCGTGACTGTAGATGATGATGCTGAGACGTTGGAGGAAAAACAAAAACGGGAGGAGGAGCGAAAAGCCGAACAAAAGGCCCGGGAGGAGGCTGAGGAGAAGGAGCGGGAGGAGGTGCTGCTGCGGGCCCGGCAAAGACGAGCACAGCAGATGCTCGAGGAGGAGAAGCGCCGGAAGGAGGAGGAGGAGCAAGAGGAAGAAGAGAGGCAGCGAGCTGCAGAGCGCAGGCGCGAAAAAAAGGCGGAAGCCGAGAGGCTTCGAAAGGAGATGGAAGATAAAGAGAAGATGGAGGCCAAGGACGCTGAGGCTCCCAAGCCCGTGGCACTCGGACGTCGCGATGCTGCAAAGGTGGAGGCCAAGCGCCGGAAGAAGGCGGCAGACGCAGATTCCGATGACGGGGACGAAGAAATCACTTTGGAGGAGCTGGAGAAGTGGAAGGCCAGCGAAGAGCAGCACGAGCGTGAGGAGGCCGAGGCGAAGCGGCGCAAGATCGAGGAAGAGGAGCGGAGGAAGGCCGAAGCCGAGCTTGCAGAGAAGAGGAAGAAGGCCGAGTTTGAGGAGGCTGTCGCCCGCGCCCGAAGGATGAAGTCTGAGTCAAGCTTTCATAAGCAAGAGGAGCTCAGACGAGGGCCGAATGCAAACGGTCAGGAGACACCAGAGCCTGCCAAAGCAGAGCCTGCCAAAGCTTCTTCAGCTTCTGCCGAAGCAGAGACTGCGAAAGCAGAGCCTACCAAAATGGCTGTCCCGCCGCCTCAAGCACTCACTCAAACCCAGCCGCCCCCACCCCCACAGATCCAGCTCAACGTGCAATTCCCTTTTCAGTTTCCTGCAATGCAGGCGCAGGTGCCCCGCCCTCCTTCTCCTCCACCACCGCCCCCACCGACACCCCCAACACTGGCGAACCTCCTCAGTGGTGCTGTGGCAAAGCCAGACTTCGGCAAGCTGCTGAAGCAGCTAAAGCCTCCTGCCGAGGAGGACCCGGCGACGGGCCCCCAGACGGGCACGGTGCTCTGGTACAACGGCCGCAGGAAAAGTGGCATGGTTTTGACTGACCGGGACAGCCGGCGACTTCGCATTCCCAGCCATGCAGCCGTTATGGGTGGTGTCGCGCCGCCGGTTCCAGCCGGACTGATGCACGGCACGCGCGTGAATTTCATGCTGGACACCAGTGCACCAGGTGATCCCGTGTGCGTGCAGGTGCGTCCCCTCCCAAACCAAGTAGGGCTCAGCTGTGGTGGTGACAGCCAAGCTGGCCAAAAGCTTGTCAACGAAGATCGCACCATCGCAACGGACCTGCAGGACCCAGAGAAGCCTCTCCCTGCCCATGCCCTGCCCCAGCCGTCAAAAGCCAGGAGAGCTTGGGGCACATGGTCGGGATCTTCGATGGCCACAGAGGAACCTACTGCGCAGACTACCTCTCACAGGAGCTTCGCGGGCTTTTTGCATGCCTTGAGGCTTTGGAATGGAGATGATTAGAGCGACAACCACCTGCAAGCTCTGGCACTACTGGCCTGACGGGCTCAACCCGACTCAGCCTCAACGGGGCATCGCAGGAGCTGCCGAAGACCATTGTGCAGCACACGAGGGAGCTGGTCAACCAGGAGGCCATGCGGCGTGGTGCTGCGCCGGGTGCACCGTGGGAGCCCCTCACGGAGGCCTGGATTGGTTAACGAAGCTGTGGCCATTGTTCTTCTTGTGGATCGCTGATATTGTGCTGCTTGTGCTGGTGGTAGTTTGTGGTGGTGGGTCGTGGGGCCGTGGCGGCCGTGGTGGTGTTTGAAAATTATGGTTATGGTCGGCCATCGTCGAATCATGACCGTCGCTATCGTCATTGATCATCGAACCTGATCTTCGTCTTCGTGGCGGCCGTTTTTTGTTGGTATCTTCCTTTATTAACTATTAGATGACCTTACGAGAGAGGGTGGTGAATGATATGTTGCTAGTGCTGATCACTCTTCCATTTCCGAGAAGAAGAATGCACGATGATGGTGTTCGCGTTGGGTGCTGCTCTCATGTCTTGCCAAATTTTGGGTAGCACGGTGGGTGGAGGCCGAGGAGGTGGACCTGATCCGGATGGGCATCATTGCAGGCAGGAGAACGGCGTGTTCCTGCGATTTCCCGTTTAGGTGTGCGGTTCGCTCAATTGACCGATGTAGTGGATCTGAAGCATTCGTGCACGATCAGCGGCGGCCAGCTCAAGCCTGATTTGTATCAACAATGTGTCTTCCAGGCAACACCAAAACGAATGGTCAAGTTCGTTCCCCTGTTTTTCAGAAAGTTTCCACCAAGAGCCTGTAGCCTGCAAGGTCTTGAAGCGACAGACCGCAATTTTCTCGGCCTTGCGCAACAGTACGGCTTCAAGGTGCCGTGCCCCATGCGTTAGAGTTCGTTCTGGACAGATCTTGGATCCCGGAAATGCCGGGCATGTGGGAGGATTGTAGATCCATGTGTTCTCCTACAGGACGGAGCAGCTGCCGTCGTTGCGATCATCATGTGCCTCGGCATTCGCTCTCCACGGGGGCATTTGAGGACTTCGGCCGTGACTGAAGTCATTCAGCTACTGAAGCTTCTGTCCGTACAGACCAGGCTAGACGAAGGAGCCTCAACAGGTGAAACGGAGAAATATTATTCCTGTGCAGCGAAAGTATGCCCAACATCGTGTTCCAAGTATTGCAACCTTAGTCCAATCGCAAAATGTCAACAACAGGCTTTTGCAGACTGGAGCCGAATGCAAAACGAGAACCCGCACGATTCAAGGCACGGCTTCCAGTCAAGCAGCAGTTCCGTTCCAGCCGCACCCGGAGGCACTGCCCGTTGGGCCAAGCGACGTTGGTTTTGCATTGAAGGCTGTATCTTAGGATAGCTCAGGATATACTGCGCAGACATGCTTAGACTTTCGTTTCATTTCTGCATATTTAGAGGTGCTTACGTGTGCAATGTGTGTGTGTGTGTCTCTCTCTCTCTCTCTCTCTCTCTCTCTCTGTGCACACCTGCATATGCGTTTGTCTTTATTTATGCGGCATTTGCACTTATGCACTTATGCATGCATATATATATATATGTATGTATGTATGTATGTATGTATGTATGTATGTATGTGTGTGTGTGTACATACGTACGTACGTACGTAGGTACGTACGTAGGTAGGTATATATGTATGAGTGTGTGTGTGTATATATATATATACATACACACATACACAGAAGTATATATACATATATGCATGCATACATTTGCGCATTTCCATTGTGTGCGCATTTTCGTTTGCATCCATGCGTCCGTCCCTCCCTCAATCATCTATCCAACGTGGACACCCAGCCAATGTCCATCCGTTCATCCATCCAGCCAGCCAGCCATCCATCCTTCCATCCTTCCATGGATCCATGCATGCATGCATGCATGCATGCATGTGCACAGCATACATACACACAACATACAATGGGAGTGTTGGTGTGTGTCAGGATTCTCGAGAGCAACTTTAGAAGTTACACTGTTAAACTCCTTCGTTCGAAGCTGCCTGTGATACTGTTTCGCTCGCTGCCCCAGAGTTGCTGCCTCGCCTGGTGTCAGGCCGCCGTGCTTGTGGTGCTCGAACCGAAGCCCGCCCTCAACCCCAAAGCCATAAACCCCACATCCCAAAGCCCTAAAGGCCCTAAACTAAACTTGCAAACCCTAAAGTCAACCAAACATCGCCTTTGACAGAGCAGGGCAAGCTCGCCTCTTTGCGGCTTGGTCCGGCACAGGGCAGCTTTGCACAAAAAGTCTACTTCTCGGGCTTAGCAATGTTGGAGATATTCTCAGGCCTACTTTTTGCTGCAGTCGTCGTTTCCCCTATGTTTCGTGTAGGGTTCAGGACGCCGTATATATCCGGTGTCAACACCCCGGGCAGATTTTGGGAGGTGTTGTAGAGCTTTAGATCGGTCCTTGGGCGCCCTGGACTCATTTAAGGGTTGCTGTAGCCCTGCACGCTGGCTGACCCTTCGCCATAATCACCCAGCTGACCCAAAGCTGAAAACCCCGGAACCTGAACCTCAGAATTCCAAAAAGATCCTATCCGAGGCACATCCTCCTCCTTCGTGGCCGGCAAGTGCTGCGCTGCACCGAGGTCCACTGAGTCCACTGGTCATGTGAAGCTTCCAGGAAAGACGTTTAGGCTTTCAGCACGCTGCCAACCTGGCGCCAGTTGCAGCTGTGGGCTCTCTGTGCTTTGAAATGATCTGGTGCTCACTGCCAGCATGAGGCACACGAACTATCCTCAGCGAACATCGTTCGGTAATCACACACACACACAAGATCCACAGCAACACCTAAGCATGATCCCGCCGGAAAACGAACATCGGAGTCTCCAGATCCTGCAGTGTCAGATTCTGTGCCAAGAGTTCCCTTCCGACAGTGGCCCCACCATGGCGGCAGGATGGCAATTTCTGGTGCCACAGGCCATCATGCTGACCATCGGCACCGCAATTGCCGGGGCACAGGTCGGCTTCGCGGCGCTGAAGCATGCGCCCCCTCGAGCATCTCCAGGCACTGCCGAGGCGGACAATTCTTTGAGTGCACGGCAAGTCTTGCCTGCCCTTGGCTCCCAAATCGAGGCTGCAGAGGAGAGGTTGGGCGCAGCCGGGCAGGGGGGCAACGGCACGTTTGATTTTACACCAGGTGGCAAGAGGAAGGATGCGGGTGGCACCTCGAATTCTTCAAGCCAAACGGCCGGCAATGGTACTTCCGAGGCTTTTGTCTTGGAAGGTCTGCCGCAAAAATACTCCCATGACCCAGCCTGCAGAGCTAACCCAGGCTGCATACATCTGGAAGGCAACTGCTGCCCTACATGGGACGGATTGAATCTGGGCTGCTGCTTCGAGTGGCAATCTGCGATGCAAACTCCGGAATACGTTGATGCGGACGCTCTCGCTGCTGCCCCGTACAGGCATGCGACCATGCGTGATCCCTTCTCCGGTGTCCTGGAAGCAGAGACCATGCAACCTATTTATCTGCTACCTGTCACCAACGGTCTCAAGCAGCTTGTGGTTTTCTTCGTTTTCGGCTTCGACATCAAGCTCAAACCAAATTTCGGGACATGGCGGCAGAAGTTGTTCAGGTGGCTGGGAACCAGCCTGTCGCGTGTGTTCATAATTGGACTGGCAGTCAACGCTTTCCGCCATGACGTGCGGAAGTTCATGACAAGGGATGAAGAGGAGAGCTCCCGATACAATGAGGTCATGATTCTCATGGCCGTGTGGTGCATCTCGCCCAACTTCACCATGGGCCTGGGTATCTGGAACCAGCTTCGGCTGCAGAGTCCTGGCGCAGTCTTCAGGCGTGACATTGCCCAGCCTCGATACCATCTTCTCTGGACGTCTCGCTTTTACAAAGATGTTCGCTTTCCCCTCTGTCCGGGAGAGGCCCGGTGGCTGACGATCTCGAAGCAGGTCTATGCACTCTTCCTGCTACCCTATGTAATGCCGGTCATGTTCCTAGAGTGGCTGATGACCATCCTCTTCTGCTACTGGATCATCTTTAAGTCGAAGCTGTTGTGCCTCGTCAAGTGTCTTCAGGTACACCTCCTCACTCTGTTTTGTTGCCTGGTTTGGCTGGTTACGCTGGGGAACTCTGGCGCCGAAAAGATTGACAAATACTGGACAACACTTTGGCCCTTTGTGTACATGTACTTGGTGTATGTTTTCGCTTCGTTTGTGGTGCCGCTAATGATGGCCGTTCTCTTTGGCATCCTTATCGGCGCTCACCCGAGCCAGATTTGGAAGGGGATCGGATTGTTCCAGGAAACGAAGAGGAACAAGTTTGGGCTCCTTCATGCAGGTGTGCGTGCTCTGTTGGCCTTCACGGCAAATGACTCGGACAGTGAGACGGAGGTTTGTCCTCACCTGGCCACTCACGAAGGCGAGTGTGTGAATCCTCGTCTGGCCTGGCTTGAGCAGTGGTACAACTTTATCATGCCGCATCGTGAGCTTCAGTTGGAAGATGACGACCGCGACTTGCTCATCCGATTGGATGTGTACCGCCTGAGTAAAGACTTCAAGTTCAAATCAAACCAGAAGACCACCCTCGGAGGTGCCGCCATCGTGAGAGCGCAGCTGCAGAAACTGCGAGAAAGTATGGAGACTGGCTACCCCGGGTCCCCCCAAAGCTCCGACGGCATGATGAGTGACCTCGAAGACGAACGGGGGCTGCAGAGAGGCTGCTTCGACGTTCTGGTGGGCGAAGAGACTTGCCAGGATGGTGATATCAACATCGAGAGAGACCCGTTCTTGCAGGATTTGCTGGAGGACATTAAAAAGGAGGCGGCTCAGAAAAATGAGAAGATCAATGTGAGCCTGGACGACTCCGAGGTTCAGATTGTCATGCTCACCATCAAGTCGCTGGCGGAAGTGGCCGTAGTGCAAGCCCTGACCATTTTCCTTGTACGGACGCTGACCGGGGAGAACTTCTCGGATTTCGTGAACGCAATGAACATCACCATCCAAGAGAGGCATGTGATGGACTGGCTTCATCACCTGGCACACGTCGGCAGAGAGACAATTGGCCAGGCCCTTGACACAATGTGGAGAGACTAGACCAAAGCCCAGGTCGAAAGACTTATCGACCTGTGGTAGTTTGGACTTGAAGCTCTCGAATCTGAGCCTCTGTACCGGGGCTGTGTCTAGTTCCGTGCTGTGCTGCCAGAGTGCCGAGAAATCATGGTCCGAGAACAATGAGCTGCTGGATGTAGGTATGCAAACAACAACCGAACAGCAACCAAGTGTTGTTGCCAACGGCACAGCCACAGCTACAGCTTAGTCTTTTACAATCTGCCCCCCAGCACCAGGCTCCTAGCGGGTGCTGGGCAGCGAAGAATGCACAGTCCTTTTTGGGGCCGTGGGCGGCCGATGGTACATAGAATGTGGGCTTAACGGTTCAGGCATCGACGGACTTAGGCTTGAGCCCACGATTGGGACGGCCCCAAAAAGAAATTCAGACCCCTCTGCAATTGCACGGATCATGCACAAGGATTCGGTCGAGGCAATGAAGGCCAAGCAAATGGCAAATCCAGAGGTATCGAATGCCTAGATCAGAGCTTGGCAGGTCCGTTTGCCCAATGACCCTTTGCAAGGGGAGCAGTCGACCGACTGGGTCGTTTTGCTCCAATGCCTCGCTAGCAACAGTGAGGTGCTAATGAGCGCTGTTCTGCGCAGATCCAACTACAGCCAATGAAGTAAACAAAAACATCTTTTTTGACTTCGACGACGCTGAAGGCAACATTCCAGCTTGTGCACTCGTCCAAACTCTGAGTGCGATGTTTTGGGCCCGGGAGCCCGAAGACCCTGCCGTGAGGACCACTTGGTCAATCGAGACGACGAGCGGCGGCGCCTTACTGGACTCGGGGCACACTTGGTGCAGGAGACCTGGTATCACTACATACAGTGTTCTATTTTGGCAGCACTGCTGTAGCCGTATCTTGATGTTGTGAAACGGTTGACACTTTTGGCCTTTTGGCAATATCAAAATCGTTCTTGGTACTGCTGGTGTTCATGACACTTTGTGCTTCCAAAAAAGGGAGCACCGACCTACTGCTACTACCACATGTATTAAACAATTACTTATGTGATCTCGCTTTGCTAACAATGCCTTTGTGTTCCTGTTGAACACTTCGTGCAAGTGATGTTGGTAACACTCCTAACATGATGCGCCAGGGTTCCTAACGCCGGGAGATGCCAGGTGTAGTTAACATGTATTTTCCAGAGAACTGCTAGCAGTCCGTGCCCTAGCTAAGGTTGTCGCTCTGGCAGTGTCAGGCGATCCACTCGTAGTATCAACTGCAATGGGTCTTGATGCATTGCCATTGGTCTTGCAGTTCAATCTGACCAAATAGGCCAGAGTATTTCTGACTTTGGAGAAGACGTTGGTCACGAATAACATGTAGAGTAGGCCAGGAAGAATTGTGATTGGGTTTCATAGGCTTCTCGGCACCAACAGGACAAATAGGGTCCTTGGGTGCATGTGTGTGTGTGTGGGGGGGAGACGACCAGGTGTCGAAAACACTGCTGGCATGTGGACAAGTATGAACATGACCAATGTATTTCGAAGATGATGAAACTGGTGAAGAATGGAATTTGTGTACCTACCTACTATGAAGATCAAGAGTGCTTCAAAGTGGCAAGCCATGCACGTCTTCGAACTCACGGCGCCGCGTGGCTGGTTAGGTTAGAGCGTGGGGGTTGACGATTGGCCCTGCATCCAAGGACCTGCGTGGGCTGTGGTGGATGGGACGTCCCGGAAACCCCGAGCTTGCCTGGGCACGCCAGCAATGCTACGATGATGTGGCACCTCGTCGATCTACATTTGGACGTGAGTTTAAACATATACACACATGCAAGTTCATCCTTTTGTAGGTGTAAGATAAAACGCGTCGCTACATAACATGCATGCATAGCATGCTTTAGTTACAGCTTGGCATGGCATCTAGCAAATACAGAACAGATGCGCTTGAACGAATACGTAGGCACCGGCTTCCATGCACGACCTCGCATCGCGCGCGTCCCCTTAGACAGCTGTGCTTCAGCAAAACCTGATGTGACTTAGCTCCATCGCTGTACAGGTTCAAGTTTGTCGGTGAGGGTCATAGGAATGAATGTCGCACTTGACAAGGCCGGCCCAAAGACATTCATGGCCGCATCTCGTGGCTTTGGAGCCGCTTGAGCTGCAAGCCTCGAAGCACTTGCAGTTCTCCCAATACATGGGAAACGGAGTGTGGCTATGGACGGAAGTGTTTGCTGTGTGAGAGGGTTTGCATGGCTGAGCTTTGGAGTGCATTCCTTCAACGAGTTGTTTCGGTGTAGATACGTCCCTAGCACTGCCTGTGCTCCCAGGATATCATGCTGAAGGGTCCGCCGTATCCAGCATCTTTGCTGCACAGGGTAATCTTGCGCCATCTGTCAGTTCACAAGCGCAAAGCAGCAATCATCAGACCCTGCGCCTGGCGCCAGCAAATCCCTTGCAGGTGCTTGCTGCTGCTCCAGAGGTCCAGGTTCGAAGGGGTTTACGGGCGTCGACAGGTTTCGGGTTTGGGTATGGTGTGTCCCTTTCAGTTATAGTCTAGAGACTGTGTTGTTTTCGCAAGATGGGTTGAAGCGGTTCAGGTCACAGACTTGTGCCCAGACGACTGGGCGATCGTGCTGGCGACTCGGGGCGTGTTCTCAGCTCCTCAACAGCAGGCAGCAAGATTATCGGGTGAAGAAACCTCTCATCACAACGGTCCCCTGTCTCCCAGGGCTCGACTGGGTTCTATGTGATGCAGTCAAGGTTCTGAGCGATCAAGATGTGGCCAATGCATGCTGGGAATCTTGGCTAACAAGAGCTCATTACCGTCCATGGGCAGGCCTGCTGCGACTGGAGGGGATGAAGCCTTTGCAGAAGATGGAGTTCCTGTGTGGCCTGTGTGGTCTGCTTTAAGTCGGGAAGATTCGGAGCCTGCCGTCCACATTAGCAGAATCGTGCAACATGCTTGGGCAGTGTGTGCCAATGCCAGAAGCAGAGGACGCGATGGCACAAAATGGGCAAGGACCCCAAGAAGCGGCGCAGATTGTGACGCAGCGTGCTCTGCAGACACGCAGCTGCAGAGAGTCGGCCACGCTTTGTGCATTGAACAGGGAATTGCTGAAGCCTTCAAGTCAACCATCCCAAGGCTCGGAGCACGAAGCAACCTCACCTGCATCGTCATGCGCCTTGGTTGGGCAAAGCTCCCATCCTAGACGGTGGCCCAGTGGAACGCCTGGACCGTGTGGCAAAACACTGGAATGCTGAGACTCTGGGGTTTCGGGGTGGGGGCAGTTTCGATACAGGCTAAACGTCCTCCCTTGTGATAGGTCTCTGGCTTTTGCTGGGAAGTGGGCGATTCGTCGAAGCTCGGTTCTGGCGCAGCTTCTACACCAAGCTTCCGAACACCTCTAGCTCTTCGTGTCAGAAGAAGCCTTCGGCCATGAATGGCCCCAAAGTCCCGGAGTTTTCCTGCACTCGCATAACCAGCCCTAAACCCTTGCCTTGAAGCACCTCGAATTGTCCCTGCTCCCTTGCTGCCATGAATCCGAAGCGATGGCCCTCCCTGAGCTGCCTGAGGCGCCTCAGGGAACGTGTTGCGGTATGCCAAGCTTTTTTCCATTTCGATCTGTCTTATCTGATATGTAATGCTGTGTAATGTGTGATGCCTCTTCTGGCCATGGCACATGGTGCGACGTAGATTTGACGAAGTACAGGTGCATGTATCTAAGAATCTACTCATCATGATGTAAAGCAATACGACGAAACGAAACGTAGTAGGTTTGCTGGCATTTTGCAGCTATACAGTAGACAGCAACATGCTGCATTGCGCGATTGCGTAACCTTTATCGCCAAATCATCCGTCACGGTAAAATAGAACAGTGAAAAGCACCGGAATACAGGATTCAAGTCTGAACATGCTGCTACTCCTCATTACCGAATGCTCCATGTAATGTTGACATGAGGAACGGTAGCGGTACTTTTGGCTTGCCGTTGGCAGCTTCGAGCGTTCGTTGGGATGCTGATGGTTCCATGCTCGTCTCTCTTCTTAATCTTCGACAGGAATGCCGAGGTGCTGTTGTGAAGTGCGAGATGTTGGGAAGAATGCAACTGCGCGTGCAGGCAATCAAGATTCAGCTTGTCTGCTTGCTTCGGCCAGCTGGGTTAACTGAGAAAGCTCTGCAATGGAACCATAAGGGGGGGCATGTGGCTGAATCGTGCGGGAGAATTGTCAACGTGGCTTTTGATGGTTCCTGATTGTTGCTCCGGCATAGCTAGCAGAAACAAGTGCATGTTCGTACCGTCAGGGAATCAACCTCCCCGAGATCGAGGCCGCTGAAGGGGTTAACTAGAGATGTCCATCAATGAGAACATCAGCTGCGATATGGAAAGAAAACACTCGATACGGGGGCTTCAGAAAATTTAGGATTCAAGCAAACGACCCTAACCGGTAGGATGGGATCTTGGTGTCCTTTCTCATCTCTCGGATTTGTCTCAGCCGACTCAAGACCAGATGCCTCGGCAAGATTGTCCGAGTCTGAGCGCCGAAGCAGTAGGATGCTTAACAGAAGGAAGCCCAAGTGGGAATGGCAAAGGCGGAGATCGAGCGACGCTGTGCCAATGAGGCCGAGAGTTCTTCCGCGGGTGCAACACTCCGAGTTCTTGCTAGCAGTTGCATCTTTGCGTAGCTGGCGGGTTGCCAAAGCTGACCAAGCAAGCTTCGTTGCTGCCCTTTATTTAGATTAACGGTAGAATACCAGAGTGTAGATCTTGGCATGCTGGTGTCTCCAGAAAGTTTGCAGGTCAGTGCCGCTGAAAGCACATGACACACACGCACCAACACTACCTGCAACACCACGTGCAATGAGGCAGAGAACGTGGGCACGCGCGGGGCCACCGTTTCCGTGCTCGTCCCATCCGGGGTTGCATGGCGAGAAGGGGATTGCCCACTCGGCTTTGGCGGTTCAATTGTCTCTCGTCGATAGGTTAAGGCTTCGTGTTAATATTTCACAGATCATGCCACAGCTACAGTCGCCCATGACCATTTTCTTGTGCACATTCCGGATGGCTTATGACCATCATCAGCATCATCATCATCACCATCATCACCATCATCATCATCATCACAATCGTCATCAAAACCGTCATCATCATCATCATCATCATCATGGTCATCATCATGATCATCATCATGATCATGGT